GATGCTGTGCGCCCCAGTGGCCGCGCCCGCCGACCTGCCGCGTCTGCTGTTTGCCTTTCAGCCAGCCAATCCCGCGCGCCACCCTCCCTGCCCCCTCCTGGTATTGCTGCTGGCACCGCTGCTGGCATGGGTGCGGGTATGGGTGCAGGCGGCATGGGCGCGGGCGACATGGCTGCGGCGGGCAGCACGGGTGCGGGCGGCATGGTTGCGCCAGCTGGCATGTTTGTGGGCAGAGGGGGCGACTCGGCTTGCCTGCCCCGTTGAATGGTCTCTGACACTCGTGCCGTGTCTGCCACGCACCCCTGCTCATCTCGCCCCTGTTCATGCCGCCTTTGCTCCTGCTGCCCCTCATCCCGCCACCCGTGTTCCGGCCCTCCGTGCTGCTCCTCAAGCTCTCCTCCTTGCCGCCATGCCAGGGCCGTGAGCGCGCTCCCCATGCGCACCCTGCCTCTCGCGCACCCCACTGCTGGAAGCATTGACCCGGGCTGTAACGCGGGCTTCCGCTGTAACGCGGACAGGGCCTGTGGCTGTAGCGACGGCTGGCGCTGTAAGGATGACATGGCTTGTGGCTGTAACGAAGCTATGTCTTGTTTCTTCAACGAGAATTGACGCTGTAAGGGGGATGGTCGCTGTAGCGAGGATATGTCCTGTGCTTGTAGCGAGGATAATTCTTGCAGCGGAGACGCAGCCAGTGCCCCGCCTGGATGGTCTGGAAGAGCCTGGGGCGGCGGCAGCGGGGCTTGCAGGGGCGGGTGGGAGGGGGAGCTGGGGGCCGCGGAGGGCTCGGAGTGGGTGCGCGGGTTTGAGAGCGCCGCGTGGCGGTCGGCGTGTGCGTGTGGGTGTGCGGGAGCAGGGAGGGTGGAGGCGAGTGGGGAGTGGGAGGTGCAGAATCCAACAGGAACCGACAGTTGGTGCATCAGAGGGGCGCGCTGCTGCTGCTGCTCATGCTGCTGTGGGGGCGGCGGAGGCAGTGCCTGCGCCTGTGGTAGCGGCAATGGCGGGGGCGGTGGCGGCTGCTGGTAGTAATCCTCCTCTTCCCCCCACTCCCGATCTTCCCCCGTTCTCTCATAATACTCCTCCCCCTCTTCCCCCTCGTCCCCTTCGCCCCCCGCGGCCCCCGCGCCCCCCTCGCCTGCCATCTCCCCTTCGCGGCAGAGACTGAGGCCGAGCGGCGCGGCGGGCGCGGCGTGGTTGTGCGCGCCGGTGGTGGAGACGCGGATGGGGTGCCTTGGGTCCACCTTGTTGTAGTCCACGATGCGCTTCGCCTCGCACTGCGCCGCCGAGTCCGCCGCGTTGCACTTGAAGTAGTGCCTGCCGCCGCGAGCACGCGAGCAGGGCGGGAGGGGAGGGGGAAAGAGGGAACGGCGTTACGAGCTATTCAGTGCGGGACGGGGGGCGGGAAGGAGAGGGGAAGAGGGGAAAGGCAACCAGCGAGCACAGTGCAGACACGTGAAAGGGCGCGAAGTAGCGCCGGAGTTGCGCGGGAACGGGCATGGCGGCGGCATGGCAAGGTCTGAGTGCGAGGTGCGAGCCACGACACCGTCGTTGTTTGCGACGAAACCTCGTCATAATATGCGAAGACTTTCTTGTAATTGTGTGCGACGACGTCTTGTGATTGTGTGCGACGACGTCTTGTGATTGTGTGCGACGACGTCTTGTGATTGTGTGCGACGACGTCTTGTGATTGTGTGCGACAATACCCCGCCGGAGTGTGCGACGTACCCCTACATGGTGTACGACGATATCCCGTGCCTGTGGTTGCGTGCGACAATATCCCGTGATTGCATGCGACAATATCCCGTCACTGCGTGCGACAATACCCCGTGATTGCATGCGACAATATCCCGTGATTGCATGCGACAATATCCCGTGATTGCATGCGACAATATCCCGTCATTGCGTGCGACAATATCCCGTGATTGTGCGCGAAGGTTCCGCGACAATATCTCGTGATCGTGCGACGCACCTCGTCATGGTGCCGCCCGACAGCTCCTTCTGACCGTACTTGAGCCACACGAACCCGTCGCGCGGCAGCCGGCTCTCGAAAAGCACCAGCTTGCACCGCTTGCGCGGCCGCCTCCCGTCCGCGCCGCGTTCCGCCAGCCGCCTTGAGCCTCCCGACTTCTTTCCCTCCAAAGTGCTTTCTTGCGTCGAACCGTCATTGCCGTCGCCCGTTCCCGTGCTCGTCCCTGACTTCCCGCCTCCCTTCGCTTCGCTGCCCCCTGTGCGGGCGATTCCGAAACCCGTCGCGTCACTTTTATCCGCCGCGGCTGCACCGCCAATCGCCGCTGCATCGTGCGCAGAATCGCCAGTCGTCATCGCTCCGCCATTTGTTACCACACCGCCAGTCGTCATCCCTCTGTCATTTGTCACCAAACCGCCATTCGTCATCGTCATCATCGTAGAATTCAACACCTATGATAATCCCATTCACATCGCCATTCTCAGGCTCACTCGCCCTCGCTTCGAGGCCCAAACTGTGTCTTCCCTGCAGTGGTTCGCCAAGGTCAAACTTAGTAGGTAGTAGGTATCATAAAAAGGCCGCAGGTGACCTTTGACGTGAATAGTAACGCGCATATCACTAAACCAAGTAGAATGTCGCAACGAGACGCCCCGATTTGCAAAATAATCCTATCAAAGGGGCTGTGAAAACGCAAGTTTGATCTACTGAATGGAGGAGATTTGGATGTGCTAGGGAGTCTAAGTCAGAAGAACCTAAGCTAATCTGTTTCGCAGAAAAACAGAAAAATCCGCTCCTCGAATTTCTATTGTTGAGGATGAATGGCATGCGAGGCGGTAGAGGCCGCACAACACAGTGCCTTGCTACACCCTGTTCTCGATAATTTCACACCCTTTAATTTTACATCCCGACTCGGGGTCACCAGCAAAGGCTTTTGGCTGCCGAGCTGGCGAACCATGAAGAATCATTGAACTGAGAGATGCAGAAATGAACGCCTTTTATACTGTCAGCAACCCAGAGAAATGGGGAAGCTTAGTGTCCAGTCTGGTCGCGTCTTAAATCGTAAAATTGCAAAGTTTCAAATTTCGTTGCAAACCATAGGTTTTCAGCGATTGGACTGCTTTTGCTACAAAGGCATGTTACTTTCGAAAGTCGCGAATGTTTCGAAGTCGAACCCAAGTGCAAATACATCTTTAATTTTTGGGAGCTGAAATTCAGAACTGAATTTGTGGTCAGGGTTACGATAAACGCAATCCTGACGTGACTGTTTTTCATTGGATGCAAAGATTTTTCAAGATCGTCAACACTCCCTGGGTCTCTTCGAGTCATTTTCGTTCCCTGCCAGCACACCTGTACCGCGCCTCGAGCGTGAAATTATCAGGGACAATATTTGCCCCCTTAATTTCACACCCTCTCGGGCAAAAGAAAACGCGGTTCGGGATTTGGGGGCGTGAAATTATCGAGAACAGGGTGTAGTCCAGAGTCCAGCAGGGAGTCCAGCGTCCAGAGACCAGGTGGCACCGCTGCCCTTGAAGGAAAGCGGTCGAGGTCCAGAGTCCAGACCAGACCGGACAGGCCAGGGCGGGGGGAGCGGAGCAGAAGGGCGAGGCGTCGGGGGAGGCGGAGGTGGGGGATGAGTGCTCTGGCCTGGGTGCACCATGCGGAGACGAAGGGGAAGTGCGGAGAGGGGATGAGGGGTGTCCGCTTGACCCTTGAGGATGTTGTATGAGCTCGTGGTTCGGAGACCTGGTTTGCAATGGATCAATACATAGAGCTGGGCCAGTCTGCCGTGGATCAACGATCAGACTGCAAACCAGCTTCGAACCATGGGTGAATCTGAGGGCGTGGGCCCAATCGGGTTTGATCGCCTCGATCAGCCGCGATCAATAATTTCCAGGAAGCCTGGAAGCCAAATTCAGGCAATCAGGGGCAATCAGCTGATCGCGATCAGCTGATCGCCCAACCTCGATCAGACCCGATTTTAACCCCGATCAGAGTCGATTTTCCTCGATCACAGGCAATCAATTGATTGCTTGTGATCGGGGCACCCAGCGATGCTTGCGAGTAGTTACAATGTTGTATTTACAGTGAAACGAAGATTTTCGCCAGGTGAAGCCTGGTCGTCAATCTCGCTAAAATGGTGACGAAAATGCCACGCAAATGTATCGCGCTTGCTGAGCAGGCGCTGAAAGCCTTCTCCGAAAATCAAATCTGATCGGGCGGCTCGGGCACTACGATCACAAGCAACCCGATCAGATCCAACCCGATCAGATCAGTCGCGATCAAACTCGATTGGGCCCACGTCCCCTGAGATTCTAGAGCTATACTGTATACCCGAGCAGAGTTCTCTTGTCCGTTTAGGGTTTAGTTACCGTTGCACATGTGTAGCGAGCAATGGCGTAACGATTCCGACGATTCGGTATGCTTCGCACTTTTCCGTTTTTTCTGAAACTTTCGGATCACGAAACGTCACACGCCTTAAATTTGGGGGACGATGGGATATGTGGGGGAGTGGAATGGGGAATGCGGAAGGCAAGGGGGAGGGATTACGAGAAGGTAGGCGCGAGGATTCTGGACCCGTTAGGGAAACGATGAAAGAAGCCGCGGGGAGAGAACGGGGAAGTGCGCGAGGGAGGGAAGGAGAGGCGAGTTCCAGGATGAGCAAGACCAACCACACGAAAGGGAATCCCGTACCGTCCATTGCGAAACTGGAAAAGAAAACCACAACCCACATATCCGCCACGTCGGAGGCTCTTAGGGGCTCTCAGCGGATGTGCATTTTTAAATGTACCGCGGATCTTTACACCCAGAATCCCGGGTATTCACTAATATTTTTCAGTGATTTCAATTGCACTGTGTACCCGTCATTAATCTACATGACATTTCGTAACCTTCCCTCCAGCAAAGCAACATTGTGTATACCTTTTTTCCTGGTGCCTGCAGTGGTTCTGCATCACGTTCTGCCACAACACGCGAGAACGACCAGTTGGTATACACCATAAAACTCAAAAGACTGGGATACTTGCCCGAGTGGCACCCACGACAACCCCCACCTCCCCCCCGCTCGGCCCCTGTCCCCCACCCCACTTCCTCACCCTCTCTTCCCCAATACACGAACACAGAGAAGAGACCAAAGGAGGACTATGGAGGAAGGGCTGGTCTGATCTGGTTCGGTGCGGTGTGGTGGTGGCCCAGGTTGACGAAATGCCCAACCGACACGAAAACGACAAACGTCACACATGTTGCTGGCCGAGAGAGACCAGCCCCATTCGTAAAGCTGGCAGCTGAGCTGGGCGCTGGCCTGTGTGGCTGTGAGTTCATCGACAATGTCAACGCTAGGTCTACACCCTGTTTTGCGATACACCCTGCTTCCACACCCCAGCCAAGCGGTTGAGGAAACGGGTGTACAGTCATTTGTGTCATGCAATCAAATGCGCCCAACAGTGCATTTCGCCTGGTCGCATAGTTTCGCGATACATTCAGTTTTTGTGACGCGGCATTGACAAAATGTTTCGACGCGACTCGGGAAAAGAGGGATCTAGACACAAATGTCCACACAGGAATGTACCCTTAGTGGAGGCGGCAAGTCTACACGAGTGGCACCCCGCGAGTGGCACGACACGCTGAGGACGACACTTGTGACTACTAGCATGGGCAATGCTTATTGTATTCGTAGGATGGTCAATGCCGAGCTTTGGACCAATACAAGTGCAAGGATTATGAGCAAGGATGACGTACAAGTGTTCAATACCGGTAAATTACAGCCATTCAAAGTACGACGTGCATAAAACATGTACTAAAGTGAGATGCCAAGCCCCGCAATGTCAGAAACAGGTTCATCTCTCAGCAGAGGCACAGTGCTCCACGCATGCAAGCGCAACGCATGGTGGCGGGGCAGATGCTGGCACCCCAGGCTCACAGCAAGCACGTGGGCCGTTGACAGCTGGACAAGCATGCTGCGCCACATGGCACTCTCTGGTTGCACCACATCAGCATCACAGGCGAGCATATCTTGCAATGAGGCATCGGTTGAGGAGTGAGAGGCAGCGGATGCGCTGAGGGCTGGTTGATTACAGGTGAGCAAGGGGGCGGGGCGGGAGCGATGGGTGAGGCCAATGGCCCATGCCTGTGGGGGGTGAACAGGGGAAAGGGAGGGGCAAAACATTTGCACGCAACTTAGGGCGTCTACGCATCAAAGGCAACAAGCACATGCTACCACATGAGCTCATGCCTTAAACCCATAGAAAACAGATAACACAGGGGAAAAAAAAAAAGAAGAAAAAAAAGGAGAGGTGCCAGCACATAGACCTGGTGGGCGCGGCGAGGGGGAGTGCAGGCGTGGGTGAGGGCGAGGGCAGCTTGGTGTGAGGGTGAGAGGCGGAAGGCAAAGGAGCGGAAGGGAAGGGCGTTCATGCCGCTCCCATGTGCCTTCACGTACGCCTCCTGGCAGGCAGGCAGTGCGCGGCAGGCCATGGTGAAGGGGGCAAACCAGGGGCGATGGGGGTGGTGTGGCCGTGGAAAGGGAGAAATGGTTGAATGAAACCAGGGGAGAAAAGAAGGAAGTAATGAGAGAGAGGGAAGGAGTGTTTGCCAAGGAGAGGGGTTGAGTGGGATGGAAGACAAGAAAGCAAGTAATGAGCTGAGGGAAGGGCAGCACTGCAACTTTTTCCTGCATCTTCCCTTCCCCCGCCTCTCCCTTTAAACCACCTCTCCTCCCCCTCCTCTCCCCTTCACCCTCCTCTCCCCTTTACCCTCCTCTCCCCTTCCCCCTCATCTCCCCTTCCCCCTCCTCTCCCCTTCCCCCTCCTCTCACTTCCCCCCTCCTCTCCCCTTTCCCCCCCTCTCCCCTTCCCCCGCCTCTCTCATTCCCCCTCCTCCCCCCTTCCCGCTCCTCTCCCATTCCCACGCCTCTCCCCTTCCCCCCTCTCCCCTTCTCCCTCCTCTCCCCTTCCCCCTCCTCTCCCTTTCCCCCTCCTCCACCCTCCCCCATCCTCTCCCCTCCCTCCTCTCCCCCTCCGCTCACCTTGAGCGTCCACAGGTGAACGAACCGTCGCTGCCGCTCCGTCTCATCTTGCCCCGCGCCCACCCACGCCGCCTCCTCCGGTGCAAACCGCCGCCTCGCCACGGGCAGCACGCCGCGGCGGGGGCAGCGAGCAGCGGCCTCCACGTCCACCCCCACGGGCATGGCGGCCGTCACTGCCAGGGCGATCAGCCCCTCCGTGTGGCTCACGTTGAAATGCAGCGACACCGCCCCACTGCTGCTGCTGCTGCTGCTGCTGCTGCTGCTGTGGCCCGGGCTGCTGCTGCGGCTGCTGGTGGTTGTGCAAGAGTCGTCAGTGCGGCTGTGAAGATCATTCCTGCTGCCCCCAGGCACCACGTCATCTGCACGCTTACTGCTGCACTCCCTGCCCCCACCGCCTTGAGAAGCTTCCTCCTGCCGCCACCCCAAGGGGGCAGGCGCCCACACGGACGACCGCCCTGCCGCTTTGCTGCCCCAGCAGTCCTGTGATACGCCCGCCTTTGCCCCCTCCTGCCCATACTGCTGCTGCGAGGGTTGGGTGGGAGGGTTGGACGAGGCGGGGTTGAAGGTGGAGGCCCAGCACACCTGGTGGGGGGATGAAGGGGGCATGGGCAGGGATGAAGGGGGCATGGGCAGGGATGAAGGGGGCATGGGCAGGGATGAAGGGGGGACGGGCAGGGATGAAGGGGGCATGGGCAGGGATGAAGGGGGCATGGGCAGGGATGAAGGGGGGACGGGCAGGGATGAAGGGGGCATGGGCAGGGATGAAGGGGGCATGGGCAGGGATTAAGGGGGCATGGTGAGGGATGACGGAGTTAGAAAAGGCATGAGCGAGCTGACAGCGAGGTTGAGAATGAGAGCACGTGGCACAGGGCGAAGAAGAAGAGAAAAAAACAGGAAGCGGAAGGACGGGGGTTGGGGGGTTGGGAGGGGAGGGGAGCTGCCAATCCTGCCCGCCCCATTGCCAATAATGCCCGCCCCATTGCCAATCCTGCCTGCCCCACTGCCAATCCTCCTATCCGGTGCGCCTGCCTGACGTGCAGCCTGGTGCCCACCCCCACCCCCACCCCCACCGCCACCCCCACCACACCACGGCCTGCTCTCGCCTCACTCCTTCCCCTCCTCCCCCCGTGCTCTGCATCCCATGCACTGCACTGCTGCTCCCTCGCATGGCTTCCCCTTCACGGCAGCTTCTTCCCCACTAGACTTTGCCTTGCCCATCACCACCATACCTCCTCACCTGCGCCTTGCCCCCATTCCACCTGCGCCTTGCCCCCATCCCACCTGCGCCTTGCCCCCATTCCACCTGCGCCCTTGCCCCCATCCCACCTGCCGCTTGCCCCTCCTGACACCGACTCACCTGCGGCTTGCCCCAGGGGTTGGCGCGGAAGAGAATGTCCCCCGGGTGAACCCGCCCCTCCAGGTCTGGCGGGCGGGCATGGCCAGGAGAAAGGAAGGAAGGGCGGGGGAGGGGAGAGGTGGGGAGGAAAAGAGTGGGGAGGGGAGGGCAGGGGAGAGGAGGGGAGGGGAGGGGAGGGGAGGGGAGGGGAGGGGAGGGGAGGGGAGGGGTGCGAGTTGCATGGGCGGTTTAATGCACATGCGAGGAATGCGAGTGAGTGAGTGCGCCCACACGGTTGAGCAAGTGCGTGAACACAACACACGTGGTATCACGCATACAAGCCACCAAAGCGACACCGTTGTGAGGTGCTTCCAGTGCCGCACAGCCCCACTGACGGCCCAACGAGCGTCCAAATCAGCGCGCAAGTGGACCCACAGAGGGCGAGCGACTCACAGCGGGCGAGCGACTCACAGCGGGCGAGCGAGACGCGCACGAGGGCGCGCGTGAGCAGCTGCTGCAGCTGCGCGGGGGACAGCGGCCAGGGGAGCGAGGGGGACGGCGCGGACGCGTCGCCGCCGCTCAGCAAATAGGCGTCCGCCAGCTGGCGAGGGGATGGCAGCGTGGCGCCAGCGCGCTGCTGATGTGGCGGCGACGATACGATTCGGTGCTTTTCCTGCTGACTCAGCAGCGACCAATAGGAGGCGAGAAGGGAGGGATCGGCGAATGCGGAGGAAGTTGATTGCGCGGAGCGCGCGGAGTGCGCGGAGGAGGAGGAGGGGAGTTTGACGCACCAGAGGTGGATTTCTCTGGAGGTAAGAGGGAGGGAAAGGGGAGGCAGAGGGACAGGGGCCTGCTTACTAAGGGATCATCGTATACTCGAATGCGAGTGCACAGCCGCACACAGTCCAGGTGAACTCAAGTGGTTGTATCGAGGATGCTTGTACAGAGGTTGGTCGTATGATCTAGGTCGGTTTTGTCGACAATTCTCGAGCGGAAGGCACGAGCGCGGCAGGCACGAGTGCGAAAGGCGCGAGAGCGGAAGGTGCGAGTGCGGAAGACGCGAGTGCGGAAGGCGCGAGTGCGGAAGGCGAGAGTGCGGAAGGCGCGAGTGCGGAAGGCGCATTACCCGGGGAGTGGAGACGGTCGAAGCAGCGCGGGCGAGAGGCGCAGAGGGGAAGCCATGGCGAGAGCGCGCAAAGGGCGAGTGCGCGCAAGGGGCGAGAGTGCGCAAGGGGCGAGTGCACGCGAGGCAGTGAGTGCGCGGGGCGCGCGAGAGCGCGAGGAGTTGAGCTCTTCGATAGAAAGCCACTGCGATCGGACGGGAGCAAGCGAGTGCGCGGAAAGAGGTGTTTGCGGTCGACGCGCTGCGTGGAAGCAGATAGGGACTGGGGATGTGATGGAATGAACGCGGGTGGTGTGAGTGAGACACGCCAGATCTGGTTTGAAATTCGGTCAGCTTGAGGTCGCAGGAATACTGGTTACCAAATGCTCGTTCAGACAATTCCCATCCTCGCGAGTTCAATCACGAAAACCTGAACAAACTGACCATTCCATTTCGCAGACTTCGATAAGCTCTCGCCCAAATCCCATCCAACCCAAAATCCCCATTCTCCAATCATCGACGTCGCATAATCACATTCCTCGCGACTTGCCAGCGGAAGCGAGTATGCAGCTTGATCCCCTTGCCTAACCCTCGCCCCGCAAGCACGGCATAGGAAGGCCGTTTCCGCGTTAGTGCGCTCCTCTTCGCGCAAGTCGTCTCGGCTTCCGCTTTCTGGTTCTAGTTTCGCGCGCCGCCCGATTTCCCCGGGGGTCGAACTCGTCTTACTCCAGGTACGCGCTTCGTATCCTCGCTCCCCTCGCTCGTCTCGACTCTCCTCGCTTCTCGTCCGTCCAACCGCAGGCGGGCCAGCAAGTTCGCAATAGTTTAGACCGCCGTCCCCTGCGGTCGAGTCGGATCGACCCCCCCGTGTCGCGTCTTTGCGCGGCCGAGCCGCTGCTCGCGGGGCACGCGGACACGGCTGCCATGCGTTCCTCGTCGCCGATCCGCCGCCCTTCAAAAGCCGTTCTTGCCTTTCGCGCGCTTCGTCGCCCATACCCTCTGCCCCTATTCGCTACCCCTCTGCTCCCCTTCGCCCCGCCCCGCCCGGCCGCCAGTTCTTCTCCCGTCTTTCTGGTCGTCCTGCCACGCGCCTTCTCCTTGCTTCCATACATATCTCCACCCCTCCTCATCGCTCCTCTTCCCCACCCCTTCCCCCCTCCTTCCGCTCGCCTCCGAGCCTCCTTGCACCTGCTTCCCATGCCAATCCTGCCGTCCCTCTTTCTCCCCTCACCTCAAACGCCCTGTGTGTCGGTCGCCTGCTCAAGCATGGCGCGCACTGGTGGCCGTCCACACTGCATTGCATACTTCACGTTCACCCACCCCCACACACCACACCACACCACACCACACCACACCTCACCAGTACTGATTGAAACTGATCCCGTGTCACGTTCCCTTTTTCCCCTTTCCCTCTCCTCCTTTTCCCCTTTTCGCCCTTCATTCCGCCCCATTCATGGGTCCCCACCAGCAGCAGCACCAGCAGCAGCACCACCACCAGCAGCAGCACCAGCAGCAGCACCACCAGCAGCAGCACCACCAGCAGCAGCAGCAGCAGCAGCACCGCTGGGAGCGCCATGGCGTGTCGCGGCTTCCTGCAGTGTCTGCTGAAGCTCTTCAACTTCGCCCTCGCCATCGTGGGGGTACTTTTGATTGTATACTCCGTCTCGCGCCTCGTGCACCTCGACCCTGACCTCCATCCACCCAGCCCCTCTCCTCCCTCGCCCTCGCCCTCGCCCTCACCCTCACCCTCCTCCCTCTTCTACTCCTCGCCCCTCGCCCCCGCCTCCATCCACCGATCCTCTCCGCTGCCTGACGCTACACAACTTGTCAGCGGCAGCAGCAGTGCTGGCAGCGTGGGCGGCAGGAGGCAGTTGGGGGCGACCAGCAACGAGCTGCGCCTGCCCTACCTCTGGTACCGCGCTTGCCCCCCCTTCCTCCCCGCCCCGCTGCCCTCTCCGCTCTACCCTCTCTCCTTTCCACTCCCCCTCCCTCCGCCCCCCTCCCCCCTCCCTTCCTCCCTCCCCGCCCCTTGCCGTTTGTTCATCGATTTGCCAGGCTCATCCACCCTGCGTGATCGCACAGGCCTTCCTTCTATCCGCCACACTGCCTCTGCTGCCCCCATTTGAACTTCTGGCATTCCCTCAACCCCGGATTCCCCCTCCCCTCTCCCCCTTTCCCATACTCCCTTCCCCTTCGCCCCTCCCACGTTTCCCCCTTCTCACCCGTCCTTTGCCCCTCTCCCCTCCCACGTGCATTGAGGTCGTTTTTGAGGCGCCTAAAAAAAAATCTCCCCTCCCGCTGCCCTCCCCCCAACCCCCCGCCTTCCTCCCCTCCACAGGTTCATCTACGTGTTGGTGGGGTTGGGAGCGCTGCTGACGCTGGTCACCATCGTGGGCGCCGTGGCAGCAGAGAGCAACAACAGCTGCTGCCTCTCATGCGTGCGTCACTGCGGTGCTGCCTTGCTTGTCACGTGCATAACTTCGCTTGCACTATGTGCGCATTGCTCTGCCATGCCATGCCATGCCATGCCATGCCATGCCATGCCATGCCATGGCACTGCCTGCTACCTCGCTGCTCGCAACCGAGTTGCTTCAATGCAGCCGTGCCTCGTGCTTGTAGCCTCTCCCTTTTCTCCGAGAAAGGTTTCGAAAGAACCAGGAGCCGTGAACATGCATGGGTGCATGAGGTGAACATGCATGGGTGCATGAGGTGAATATGCATGGGTGCATGAGGTGAAGAGGAGTCAACAAGGCAGAGAATGCAGCAGGGACGAATAAGTCAAGAGGGGACGAGGGGGTAGCGCAGCAGCCTAATGCGACAACTGGCCCAATTCCGCCTTAACATTAGTCAGCCTGTCTGTCCACCAACCATCTAATGCTTTTGTCTTTCCATTCCATTCCGCTCCTTTTCTCTGCACTCCTCCCACCCCACATCCCTTGCGCCCCGCAGTACCAGTTTGGCCTGTGCGTGCTGCTGCTCATCCAAGGATCCCTCGCTGTGCTCGTCTGGCTCCAGGTAACCACCCCTTGCATTGCATGTAACCTGGTAACCACCTATCACATGTAACCTGGTAACCACCTATCACATGTAACCTGGTAACCACCTATCACATGTAACCTGGTAACCACCTATCACATGTAACCTGGTAACCACCTATCACATGTAACCTGGTAACCACTCCTGGCATGTAACCACCCCTTGCATTGCATGTACCCTGGTAAACATCCCGTGCATGTTCCTTGGTAACCACCCCTTGCATGTAACCTGGTAAACCACCCCTTGCATGTAACCACCCCTTGCATGTAACCACCCCTTGCATGTAACCACCCCTTGCATGTAACCACCCCTTGCATGTAACCACCCCTTGCATGTAACCACCCCTTGCATGTAACCACCCCTTGCATGTAACCACCCTTGCATGTAACCACCCCTTGCATGTAACCACCCCTTGCATGTAACCACCCCTTGCATGTAGCCACACCTTGCATGTAAGTTGTAACCTTGTTAACACTGTTTGCATGTAACCTGGTAACCACCTTTACATGTAACACCCCTTCAAATTTAGCCTAGTGTAACCCTGGTAAACACCCTCTCCCCTTGCACCTCGACCCTCGGCCCCCCACCCTTGGCCCTCGCCCTGCGCCACTTTCTGCACCACCACGTGCCAGAGGCCCCGTGCACGTGACCACCCCTCTTCCCTCTCCCTTCGCCCCGCTTCCCTCTTCCCTCTCCCCTCGCCCCTCTCCCCTCCTCCCTCCCCCCTCGCCGCTCGCCCCTCTCCCCTCTTCCCGCTCCCCCTTCCCCTGGCGTGCACCAGGACGTACCGGGCGACACCACGGGCGAGTACAAGAGGGAGAGGGCGTTCGTGCTGCGCAACCTCGACCTCTGCCGCCTCGCTGCTGTCAGCCTGCTGCTCGTTGAGGTCAGCCTGGGCACACACACGAGGGAATGAGGGTAAGAACAGGGAGGTGAGCCTAGGCGGGCAAGGATGTGAGTGCGTAATCACGGCAGGCTCGCGTGAGAGTCGGTTGCAACCACTTTGTGTTGCACCCCTTGCGCCCCTCTGCGACCCCGCTGCTGCCATCTTCGCAACCGCTCTCCCTTCCCATCCCCCCCCCCCGGCCTTCCCCCCCCCGTCATGCCCTCCACCCGGCCCTGGTGGGCCATTCGGGCACGGCGCTGCTTCTGGCCATGGGGCTGGGAGGCATGGCGCTGAGAGGCATGGCGCTGAGAGGCATGGCGCTGAGAGGCATGGCGCTGAGAGGCATGGCGCTGAGAGGCATGGCGCTGAGAGGCATGGCGCTGAGAGGCATGGCGCTGAGAGGCATGGCGCTGAGAGGCATGGGCATGGCACGACGACACCGCACTGGCGTATGCTGCACTGCACTGATCTCCCCACTCCCACCCCTCTCTTCCCTCTTTCTATCGGCCATCAGGGCACGGCGCTGCTGCTGGCAATGATGCTGAGGGCCATGCACAGCGACAATGCACTCGCTGACGACGACGACGACAACATCCCCCCCCACCCCCACCCCAACTCGCGCCTGCGCCAACCCCTCCTCCGCCCGCCCCACATGGCGCCCCCTCCTCCCTACTCCGCCGCCATCCCCTCGTCCTCTGCTGCTGCTGCTGCTGCTGGTGCTGCTGCTGCTGGTGGTGGTGCTGGTGGTGGGAGTGGTGCGGGTGGCGTGGGTGTGGGAGGAGCAGCGGACGGTGCGGCAGCAGCAGGAGGAGGAGGGGAAGGGGGAGCAGCAGCACTGTCAGATGCCTGGCGTAACCGCATCCTGGAGAAGGTGCGGTGGGATGGGGGATAGGGGACGGGGCATGGGGCATGGGGGATGGGGGATGGGGATGGTGGATGGTGGATGGGATTTGGGGGATGGGGGGATGGGAGTTGGGGGATGGGGGGATGGGGGGATGGGAGATGGGAGTTGGGGGATGGGGGGATGGGAGATGGGGGTTGGGGGCTATGTTGGAAAATACGCATATTGCGTTTTGTACGCCAGCGCAGATGTACCGCGGAACTACTGCGCGCACCTCTTCATGGAGGAGAAAGGAAGGCATGTGAGGGAGTGGAGCGCATGGTGGCATGTGAGGGAGTGGAGCGCATGGTGGCATGTGAGGGAGTGGAGCGCATGGTGGCATGTGAGGGAGTGGAGCGCATGGTGGCATGTGAGGGAGTGGAGCGCATGGTGGCATGTGAGGGAGTGGAGCGCATGGTGGCAGGAGTATGGAGAGCAAGAAATGCTTGTTGCTATGCTTGTTGCTATGCTGGGATGGGAACACAGAGTCTGGTTGGTGGAGGCGATTGGGAACGGATGGGGATGGAGAGGTTTGTCAAGCGGTGGAAGGGAGGGGATTATGCACTTGGAGTTGGAAGTGAGGTTGAAATCGTGATGTGGAGACTCAAATTTGAGCTCGCCCCTTCGCCAAGTCAATCTCAAATTTTAGGTTTTTATTTCAGGTGGCCACCTGATGCCACCTGATGCCACCTGATGCCATCTGATGCCACATGGAGCATGTTTAGGTTGGCTCCCCCCGCCACTGGCCCTCCCACCCACCCCCTCCGCCCTCCCAATCCACCAGTACGGGCTGGGCACAAACAAGTTCCACCACCCTGTCAACCCGTCCTAGCAGCTCGGCCTGTATGCAAGGGCCTTAGTATAGGGCTGAGGGTACTACACACATTTCCCTGTAACGATGTATGTGCCTGCCCCTGCTTGTGCCTGCCCCTGCTTGTGCCTGTCACTCTCTCAATCTCTCACCCACCTGCCACCATCCACCCTCCCCTGCCACTGCCCCCACCAGTACGGGCGGGACACCAACGAGTTCCACCCCCCTGACAATGGGCCCGCACAACCCGGGTTACAGTGACGGATGGGTCTGCCACTCTCTCACTCACGTGCCACCATCCCCTCCCCACCCCCCCCCCCCCCCCAACCAGTACGGGCTGGACACCAACGAGTTCCACCACCCTGTCAACGCGCCCCATGCAGCCCCCATGCCCCCGCAGCCCCCCCCTTCATCCTCCGCCTGTGCGCTCATGTGATGATGTCACCCTGCTCAAGTGCGGTGGGGGGTACTCTCGTCTCTGTGCTGGGTTGGGGTGCGGAGGGGCATACACACTATGTGCTGGGGTGGGTAGGGGCATACACTCGTAAGTGCTGGGGTGGGTAGGGAAATATTATGCACAAGTTTGGATAGAACGTGCTTCTAGGCCTTGTGGACAGTCCTAGCATACGTACGGGTTCAACTGTAGTTATCAATCTGAACTTAGGGTGTGGACCATTTGTAATGGGGCCATCTCAGCCCAAGATGTCATATGAAGAATGATAGGTACCTAGTTATACCGTGGTAAAGCTGATGACTCCAAAAATGGGATACATAACAGGCCTGTGGAGTCACCAAATTTGAGCCATGTTTGTCAAAACAGAGCATCAATGAAGTGCTTGTGGTGGGCAGTGCCTTGCTAAAACACATGCTTCTCATCTCATCCCTGCCTGCTTTCTTTCCCCCCAACCGCATGTACAAGTGCAACCTCCCCTTGCTGCGACTGCCCATGCTCGTGACTACCATGCCAAGCTCTCACACAGCGCACAAGCCCATGCTCCCCAGCAGCTCGCACTGTTTACCTCCCCTCAGCCATGTTCCCATGAGCCCATGTGTCTGGCCGGCCTTCCCTGAGCTATTCATGCTCACATCACATCACATGGTAGCACAACCCAGCAGTCTTCTCAACCTCAGATCTCACACCAATTGTCTCACCACTTCCTTCACCTCTCTTCCCACCTCCCCCTCGCATGATGCAGTGCAAGCGGATGCCACAACCACCATGCTCACATCTTGGCACCATCCCCCACTCTTCTCAGCGTCAGCTCTCCTGCCGATTCCCTCACCACCTCACTCAACTCCTCTATCAGCTCCTCCTTCCCTCCCCTCTCCCCCTCCCCATCCCCCACAACTCCCCCCACAACCCCTCCAGCGTGATGCGTTATAAACAGACTCAGCACACGCCAGTAGCGCTGCCCGCCCCTCAGCCACGTGTCCATGTGGCCCCCCGCGGCCACCTCCACGAATAGCGAGCTGCCACCTGGGTTCCTCTGCGCCGCCGCATACAGCTGCCGCATGTGTGCGGGCGGCACGAGCTCGTCCTTTGCTCCGGATAGGAAGAGAATGGGGGTGTCGATCTGAGGGGAATCATTAACGAAGGGTGGGGTGTGACTGAAAGAGCACTGAGATGCCGTGATGGACAAGGTAAAAAGCTGGTCAGGAGCTCTACATCAAAATCCCAATGGGTGTGTTAACCTGTGCGTGGTGGCACGATGAGCAGTGAGGACAACAACAGTCTCACGGTAATCAATGCCATCCGTCCCACCGTGCTCATCGCTTCAATCATTTGTCGCTTCAATCATTTGTCGCTTCTATCATTTGTGGCTTCTATCATTTGTGGCTTCTATCATTTGTCGCTTCTATCATTTGTCGCTTCTATCATTTGCGGCTTCTATCATTTGTGGCTTCTATCATTTGTGGCTTCTATCATTTGTGGCTTCTATCATTTGTGGCTTCTATCATTTGTGGCTTCTATCATTTGTGGCTTCTATCATTTGTGGCTTCTATCATTTGTGGCTTCTATCATTTGTGGCTTCTATCATTTGTGGCTTCTATCATTTGTCACTTCTATCATTTGTGGCTTCTATCATTTGTGGCTTCTATCATTTGTCGCTTCTATCATTTGTCGCTTCTATCATTTGTCGCTTCTATCATTTGTCGCTTCTATCATTTGTGGCTTCTATCATTTGTGGCTTCTATCATTTGTGGCATCTATCATTTGTGGCTTCTATCATTTGTGGCTTCTATCATTTGTCGCTTCTATCATTTGTGGCTTCTATCATTTGTGGCTTCTATCATTTGTGGCTTCTATAATTTGTCGCTTCTATCATTTGTGGCTTCTATCATTTGTCGCTTCTATCATTTGTCGCTTCTATCATTTGTCGCTTCTATCATTTGTCGCTTCTCACCTCACTTTCACCTCTTAAGGGGTCTGCTTGGACACCCTTGGTTACTCCAGCACGCCTCTCAGCACGGATGGAAAGAACAAAGGTACTTGGACCTCTAATCGCGAACACATACATGTGTGTGAGAGAGATGTTCACCTTGCCAGTCACGTCAATGCTGCGCCACTGCGACCTGGTGAACCCGTTGAGTCGCCCTCCCAGCACCACTCTCGCACGCACACCTGTGTGCACCACTCTCGCACGCACACCTGTGTGCACCACTCTCGCACTCACACCTGTGTGCACCACTCTCGCACTCACACATGTGTGCACCACTCTCGCACTCACACCTGTGTGCACCACTCTCGCACGCACACCTGTGTGCACCACTCTCGCACTCACACCTGTGTGCACCACTCTCGCACTCACACCTGTGTGCACCACTCTCGCACGCACACCTGTGTGCACCACTCTCGCACGCACACCTGTGTGCACCACTCTCGCACTCACACCTGTGTGCACCACTCTCGCACTCACACCTGTGTGCACCACTCTCGCACTCACACCTGTGTGCACCACTCTCGCACTCACACCTGTGTGCACCACTCTCGCACTCACACCTGTGTGCACCACTCTCGCACTCACACCTGTGTGCACCACTCTCGCACTCACACCTGTGTGCACCACTCTCGCACTCACACCTGTGTGCACCACTCTCGCACTCACACCTGTGTGCACCACTCTCGCACTCACACCTGTGTGCACCACTCTTGCGCCTCAGTAAATATACCCGAGCCACCAATGCAGAGCAGGTGGACAGCAGGTGGGTCAGCAGAGAGGGAGCACGGAGGGTAAGCGCGACCCAGTACCAACACACACACGTACTTGTGCATCTGACCTGAGCCTCACCTTGCCCATCACATCTATGGTGCGCCACTGTGAGCCTCACCTTGCCCATCACATCTATGGTGCGCCACTGTGAGCCTCACCTTGCCCATCACATCAATGGTGCGCCACTGTGAGCGCACGAGCCCATTGAGTGGCCGCACGCCCTTGGTGGACAGCAGGTTGCTCAGCACCGGCAGCACCACCCCCGCCATGTCCAGCACCGATGTGAACGTGTTCTCCACCACCAGGGCTGCCACCTGCGGGAAGAAGGACAGGCGGGGCAATCAGAAAGCATGTAGCAAGGGGCAAAGGTGGGTCAGCAGTGGCAGCACAGCACCACCCCTGCCATGTCCAGCACGCAGGTGAACATGTTCTCGACCAGCGCTGCCACCTGGGGGGGAAGGGGAGAGGGGGGGGAGAGGGGAAGAGGGTGGTGGGGGAGGGGGAAAGAGGGGGAGAGGACTGCGAGCAGGTGAGAAATGAGAGAGAGAAAACAGGAGAGAAAAGACGGAGTGTGAGCGGAGCGGAAAGAAGGAGAGCGAGCAGGAGGGGAAAGGGCTAAATGGACGAGTAAGAAACAACTAGGTGGGAAGCGAGGCATGGGGAAACAGAGATATATGTGGTTTTTTTTCTACCACTAGAGTGGCAACCTGGAGGCTGGAGAGTGAAAAGTCGATTGCTGCCATTCAAATCAAACTGTCAACACAAAATCACCTTGTTGGGGTTGCGGTGAACCAAGTCAGCCCCCACTGCGCCTCCCAGCGACCGGCCAAACACCACAATGCGATCCGTATCTATGTCCTCCCGCGCCAGTAGATGATCCAATGCTGCCTGCACGGTGCGGTGCAATGCGGTGCAACAGGGTGGTGTAAGATGCGATGAGTCAGCGACCACAATGGTCCATCCAAGCACCACGATGCAGTGCAGACGAGAAGAAGAGTGAATGTCGTCTTGTGCATGAAGATGAAAGAAAGGGGCGAGCCACTGTTGGTATGGTGAAAAATAGGCATGACATATGTGAAGTGAACCTATATGAAAGCAGAATGTTAAACGCCTCAAAGTTGATGCTTCATGCTTGGCTGTTGGTTGCGAGGGACAACACAGCGGAAGTAGCGACGGGCTCAAAGCAAAACAACCTGGTGGCCACCATGCGTGTGCTGAGCATCCAATCAAGCTTCCACACGTGTCAAAAAGCACTTGGAGACCATCAAACTAACACCCATGCCGTCAATGACCAAACCACGCATGTGCGTGCAATCGCAGGCCTCTTTAAGACGTCTCATTTTTTTTAGTTTTGAGACATCTTAAAACTTGAAGTTGAGGCGTCTCAAAACTTGAAGTTGAGGCGTCTCAAACCCACACCCACCAATGACAAACCATACCTGCGCGTCCAATCTAAGGCCCTGCTCTGTCGGCTTGCCCTCGCTGGCGCCATACCTGCGTGGGGGAGTGGGGAAGAGGAGGATAAAGGACGATTGTTTGAGAAGCGGAGAATGTGTTGGAGGTATGTGTGGATGAGGGAGAGAAGACGAGGAGGGTGGGGAGAGAAGCGGACGGGTCAGAATCACAGAAACAAAAGTAACAAAAGCATGGCCCCTCAGGGAGCACACTCTCGCATCCAAATGACAGCAGCATGCCACCTCACCACAGCAGCATGCCACCTCACCCCAGCAGCATGCCAACTCACCCCAGCAGCATGCCATGGCCATCTTGTTCTGTGGCAGTTCATTTCACCCTGGGTACCACGGCTAGCAGCAACAGGCACAATGAAAAAGGAAGGCTCACCCACGGTAGGAGAGCAGCAGAGGGACAAGGCTCACCCGCGGTAGGAGAGCAGCAGAGAGACAAGGCTCACCCGCGGTAGGAGAGCAGCAGAGAGACAAGGCTCACCCGCGGTAGGAGAGCAGCAGAGAGACAAGGCTCACCCGCGGTAGGAGAGCAGCAGCATGTTGCAGTGCAGGCGGTCCATGGTGTAGCGCGATGACTCCAGGCGATGCGCTATGTCTTTGATTGATTGCCGTTCAGCATTTAATCGGCGGAGGGCAGTGATTGCAGTTGCATGAGAAGGAGGTGGGAAGAAGTTAAGGAGAAGCCCAAGGAATGAAGAATGACCGAAACTGATGAGGAACGACGCATGCATGATACGCAGACAGCAATGCGATCAACA